AAAGTGGTGGAGTTGCATGATGGTGCTGCCAATTCATCATCAAGGGAGTCATTACTGCAGCTGTTACGATCTTTGGTATTGTTCCTCTCGGAAAAGCAGTCAACATAGTTAAACACTTGTTCTTCAGATATGACTATTTGCTCTTTGCAAGAAAGGAGTTGAAAGAATACAACGTTTCCCAGTCCAAATGGTAGAAATAATAGACCAATAATTGTATCTGGACATGGCACCATGGCGATACATTTTGTCCCAATCCGATGTGTTGCCTATGAAAGGTTCAATATCACCATGATGCATATTATACTTCTGTAGTCCAGTTATCATAGCATGGACAGTTCCAATCTCTCTCCTATTTGTTGGCCTCGTCCTCTGCCAGACATGGTCGGGTCTCACACCTTCTCGGTATTCATCGAGTGCAAATAGCTGTAAAGACTGTGCAGAGAAGAAGAATTTGATCGTGTCTTTGAATTGCTTTCCTATGTGAACCTAAGCATATGTTGACACTTCACAATGGAATATGAAGTGATCACTAAGGTCTCAAGTAGGGTGGAGCATCAATATTGGAAAACTGTTTCCAGCACAGGTCATATTCACCATCTTTCATGTGTTGGTGTAGAAACAAGGCGAACGTCAATTGGGAAGTAGACAGGAATCAAATGATGAATCATTGGTTTGAAGAAACAAAACAAGCAGCTACTTTCACCGTAGTCGCTACGTGTTAGTATAACATAACATAGAAAATATCCAAATTTAACCAGTATAAAAGAAATCCTCCCATTTAAAAAAAGAACCCTCCAAAATAATCGGAGGTATAATGTGAAAAGAAAGTAAAGAAAGGAAAACAGATCTCAGCAGTGTAACAGAAATTCTCAAAAGCGTAAGTGTTCACTTCTTCTCGTTGAGTTCTTCATCTTCAAGTCTGATTTGTTGCAATCTACGAGCGTGAAGCTTTGCAAAGATGGCAATTAGTCCCAAGATGAAGAATCCACCGAGGAACCCGGATGCAACTGCACAAATAGCCTCTGGGGATTCAGCGATTCGCTTTGCAGAATCAGCAAAGTCAATGGACTTGACACCTGCAACAACGTCTTCACCCCATTGCTTGATTGTTTCAACAGTAGAGATCTCATCCGTTGAAACCTTGAAGCCCTTGCATCCCTTCTTACCAGCACGATGTGGAGATACAGCGTGTGGGGCATTTGGATAATCAGTGATCAAGCGGTGATGTGGGTCCTTATGGTGTGGGCCCTTGTGGTGTGGTCCCTTGTGGTGTGGTCCCTTGTGGTGTGGTCCCTTGTGGTGTGGTCCCTTGTGATGAGGGTTGTCATGGAACTTCTTTGGCTCCTCCGCTTGCTCCTCCTCAATATTGGCCTCTTCAGACTTCATTGATTCGACAACATCATGGATCTTTGCCATGATGGATTCATAGGTGTCTTCAGCAACCGCATGGGCATTCTTCAACCCTTCGCGCACAGAGTCAACGAGCTCCGTCTTCTTCTCATCTGGCAACTGCTGTGGGATTTGAACTGGAGCAGCACGGGCGCTAGCACCACCAAGCGCCATGGCGATCTCCTGAACCTGTTTGATGGCCTCGTCAAGGTCGTCACTGAGCTCAACGTTCTCAAACTTGTGAACAACAGTCTTTCCATCACGGGTGAATCCCAAAACCTCAACGTTGGCGTTGACAGGAACCGGAGCTGGAGCAGCAACTGCAACAGCGGCTAATGATAATAATGTAGCAGCTTTCATTATCTTTGTTTTTATTTGTTATGAATTTGTAAGTGTAAATTCGTCTTGTGTTTGTGGTTAAAGGTTTAAAAAAGGGGTGGCTGAGTCGGTGATGTTGTGGTTTTTATCTCAAACAGTGCGCGTGATGGAAATCCATGGAAAGAATTTTTTGAGATGGGCGGAGGAGGCCAAAGGGTGTGGTTGATTACATAAGTTATTATTAAGCACGTTGGTTTAAACTGGGTGTTCAGATGTTGAGGTGTTTGGATGTGTATATACCGGGGTATGGCCTCGTAAGACTCCACATGGCAGGATAACCTAATGACTATGGGAGGGAACTAGAACTAAAGCAAAGATTCATTTATTCTTAGTTCATGGTGTGTTGTATGTCATAGTTCCATATCTTGATCGTCGTCGTCCTCCTCCTCCTCCTCCTCCTCTTCAGGGTCGATAACTTCGTCCTCATCATCTTCGTCGCTCAAATCACTAACTTCGCTCAGCTCGTCCTCACTGCCAGTGTCTGAAGTATCTTCAATCTTGAAGTCAGGGTTATTTGCATATCTCTTGACATATTCCCTGATCCTGCTCTCGTACTCTGTTTTGTCCTGCTTCATAAGAGCCGCAGCGTTGGTGTTCAAGGGATCAGCAGGGTTCGGATAGCACAAGAGCTGTGGCAGGAATACGTCAAAGATATTACACAGGTCGAACATTGGGGACCATGTCTGGTTTATCACATCAAGGCAAACAGACCCGGAGGACTCGTCGATATTTGGGTGGAAGATTTTGTTTTGAAACCCAATAGATGGCGATTTATAAGGATACTGATCAGGTAGTTCGACATGGATCTTCCAAGTGCCCCCTTCAAACGGAGAGTCTGTTGGACCTTTGAACTTGATCATGAACTCTTGCATCCTGTTGTTAATGAGACTGACTTCATGGTCACTCATAAGCCTTG